TTAATATTTGTTTATCGTTAGTTATCATTTTGTTTAATGTGTAGGATGAAGATGAAGATGAAAACTAAATCAAGGTGAGGTTGAGATTAAGAAGTTAAATCATCAGCATTTTATCATCATCAGTTTGCCGACTTTATCATCATCATCAAAGTTAATTGTTTGAATATTGCATTTGATTACAATGAAAGAGACGAACCCATTGTAACAGATTAACACACTCTCATTATTTGATAATGAAGGTGTTCATGGTGAGTTTTGATGGAGATAAAGATGAAGATGAAGATGAGGATGAGAAACTGGAGGATCCATGATGATAATGATAAAGTTGATGAGGAAATCAAACGTCAACGTGATGAAACTTTATGAAAACTCTCTCTCTCTCTCTCTCTCTTTCTGTAACAATATAATTTGTATCAGGGTCAAGAGAGTGACCTCCAACAGAGGAAGATGATAATGAACATGATGAGAAGTGAAAGTTACTCATCTTCAATGAGAATATTTTATATAAGAGGAAAACAGAATGATGATTATGATAAAAACAAAAGAAGATTTAATGAGAAATGAAGAGAAAATAACAAAGAGAAAAAAAGAAGATGATGAAAATGAGTAAGAGATTTTCTTTCCTCTTCATCTTCATCCTCATCTTCATCTTTTCTTGTTGTTGACTGTTTACCTTTTACACTTTCATCTTGATTATCAACATTTTCCTATTCCAAAGTTATAACTTGTGATTGTTATCATGATAATTTTGATAAATTCTCATTCAAGATTCAATAAGTTACCTGAATGAAAAGGTAACTGATAAAATCTTGATTATATATCACAACAAACAGGCAAACAAAAAGATTTAATCAAATTTAGTGAGATAATGATAATCATCTTGAACAATCAAGGTAATCAAAAAAGGTAGAAAAGCTCAAGAGGAAAAGAGTATATTACCAACTGACCAATGGTCATTTTCTTTATTCTGATCATTATCATTGATATTTACCAGAACCATGTTAACATTATTTAAAAGGGTAAATAAAAATGTAGTCAACAGAAAAGGTAAGACAACAAAAGGTAAAAGATTAGCTTACCTGTTAATCCATTTGTGTGGATATCTAATCAATTGATGATTGATAACAATCAACAAATGACCATTTGATACAAAAGGTCAAGATTATCAGTTAGTAATATAAACTCAGTGTGTGATTAGATTCAGTTATTGTTAAAGGTTGACAGTTGATGATGATGATGATAATGGGGGATGATGAAGATGAGGAGGAGGAAGAAGAAGGTAAAAGGTGGGTGGTGGTGATAGTGGTCAACATAAGATGGAAATTCTATTCTATTATTTTTTTTCTTCTTCTATTCTTAAGGTAAATTATTCTCTCTTTATCTTGACCATTGATATTTAAATCGTAAGTGAAAAGAAACCGTGAAAACAGAATGGACACAAAAAGTGACCTTTAACCATTTGCAGCATGAAAATTGGCCGATAAACTGGTCTGTATGTGTGTCCACTATGTCCAGTGTCCAGAGAGAGAGAGAGAGAGACTAAGTCACTCCTATTGTTTGTGTGTCCAGGAAAAAAGAGGCCACCAAATGATTCAGATAATATTAATGTAAAGGTAACATAGTGAGTGAGAGAGGGTAAGATGAGGATAAGGAAGATCAATTTTCGTGATATTGTCAAGGTAAAGATGAAGATAAGAAAGGGAGAAAATGAAGGAAATGAAAAGAAAGAAAATGTCATTTCAATCATCATAGGTAAGAGAATTAGGAAGAGACAAGGTAACTCTTGAAGAATACAGGTAACCAAAGGCACTGCCAAAGGTGAAGGTACAAAGGTGAATGATCAAAGACATTGAGGTTACCTTATTGTAATCCTATTTGTAGGAAATTGTATCGAGATAAAATAACATGGAAACAAAGAGGCTTGACTTTCAATGGAATTGACTCTATGGAAGATTATTAATATGATGATAAAGATGATAAGGGGATGAGAGAGAGAGAAAGAGAGAAGGTGAGATGAAGGATTAGAACTTTTTAGAACTTTTCTTCTTTTTATATTCTAAATAATAATAAGCATCACTGAAAGAGAATCTGATATTCCTACACAATAGATTCACTTTCTTCATCATCATTATCTTCATCTTGATCATCTTTTTGTCTTCCTCAGTTCATTTTAACACGAAATGTTTATTCAATTTGTTACTTTTACCATTACAAAAGAATCGAAAGTTTTGTAAACTTTTTTGTTCGAAAAAAGAAATTCTCTCTTTTTTTCGATTTTGTCGAATTTTTCAAAGACAAAAGGTGTCACCAAAGTTTCAATTTCGAATATTGAAACAAAGAGAAAATGAGAATTGGAAAGATGATGAATATGAAGATATTATTATTGTTACGAAGAGAAAATAAATGCTTCGAATAGAGAAAAGTTTTTTTTTCTCTCTTCTTTATTAGTTCCATTTGTTTTCTCTTTCAATTCATTTTTACATGATAACATTTTCATGGAGTTAATATGAACACAAGGAATAACAATTTGTGAATTAAATTAAATTTCAAACAAAAACAAGAAAAAGGAATCAAATTAACTTACAAAATGAATACATGATAATTAGGAAAAGTGAGAGAAAAGTTTCAAATTTATAATGAAAAAGTTTTCCAAACAATTGAAATGATGAAGATGATGATTATATACTTACACCAGGTACTCACCAGATGGAAGCATAAATTTGCAATGATGATGATAAGGGATGAAGAGGGTGGGCTAAAGGTAGATAATGATGATGAGCCTGCATCAGTATTTGGAAGGATGAAAAAGATGAAGATGAAAAACAAGAAAATGAAGGTTAACAAATGCAATTTCAACGTAAAGGTAAACGACAGACAGAAATAGAGAGAGGAAAGTAAGAGAAAAAGAAAGAAACAATGGAAGATAAAGAAGACCGGTTAATCCTCATCCTCATCTTCATCATCATCAAGTTATGATGATGATAGGCTAAGCTAAAATTGTGGATAAGTGGTTATAATAATAAAGGTAAAAAAAACACGAAGATGAAGTTGTCATTCCTATAACCTGTAGACTCTCATCATCATCATCATCATCATTATCATCTCCCTCCTCTTCATCTCACTATCTACCTTAAGCAGATGGTTCCCTAAGACCAACAACAACAACAACAACAACTACAACCTCCACCATGAAAACCCACCCGTACCCCTGAGGGCAAAATAGTAACACCAACAAAAGTTACCAAGAAAACGATACAACCAAAAAAATAAGGAAAGAAAGAGAAAAGTTTTTCCAAGCCACACTTTTACTCTAACACCGCGTCCCTTTCCTCCTCATCATCTTCATCATCATCATCATCATCATTTTCATCTTCATCATCATTATCTTCATTATAATAGGTTGACTTATCCATTAGCAGATGATATCTTCATTGAGAAAGCCAATGTTTACCTGTTTACTTTTAGTTGATAAGTAATATTAACAATTAACATTGGAAACAACAATCAAGTTAATTATTATCATTATCATCAGCAACAATTAACATTATTATTATCATAGGAAGACATTATTACCTCTATGTAATAATAATCATCTTTGTCTCATAAATAATAATAATAATCATCTTCCCAAGGTAATAAGTAATTAAGGTAACAAAAAGTTGATAATAACTTAATCAACTAAATTAAAATATTACAAACACATACTCACATAAGTTATTATAATAACTCAATCAAGACTTTCAGTTGAAACAATTTAATTGTTAGTATTTGCTTGAGATGATTAGTTAATTGTTGCCCAATTTATGTATTTGTGACATTTAATTTCTCTGATTATTTATTAACTGTTGCAGGAGAAAAATTAAATTAATGTTAATTGTTTCATTCTCATCTTGATGTGTTACTTGTAAAGTGTTGATTTGATTAAGTTGAGCAATTGAATTAAATAAGAAAAGTTTTACCTTATGTTGGACACTTAATAACAATTAACTTTTGATTTAATTTCATCTTTAAATTGTCACCTTTTTTTTGTCAAATGATAATAATCATTAATTAAAAGAGACAATTTTAATTTTCTCAGGAAAAATTTAACTGTATTTTGTTTCATTGGAATCCATTTATTGATGATATGAAAATCAGGAAATTTATTGTTATCATGGTGATTCAGATGAAGATGAATCATCACCATGAAATCCAAGACAAGTGACACTCTGATATTTTACCTGGAAATATGAAATTAACATGATGGTGGACATAAAGTTCCGAGAATCTGAACTGAATCGGAGATTGATCAAGTTCAGAGAAACTGAATTTCACCATAGAAGGAAAAAAAAGTTCATCTTCTCATTTAATTTTCCCCTTAATGATGAGATTAAGATGAGAAATATTTATCTTCCCTCGTCTTCATCTTCTCTATCATGATGATGATGATAAAAAGTCATGAAAGATGACAACTGATTTATCTCATCATCATCTCTCTCTCAATGTATCATCTTGATTATACTGATAATGAGAAAAGAATCTGTAACTAAATTAAAGAAACAATTTGCTAATTTGTCAACATTTTCAAGAATCACAATCTTGATTTGACAATCTTTTATCATGATAATACTGAGTAATGATGATGAAACTTATGATAATAATTTGCAGCAATTAAACAGCTGATTAATTAGGGTAAAACAATTAACGATTAACAAGAATTAGTTTAAGTGAAAAAATTAATCAAGTGACATAAATCAGTTGATCAATTTGTTTCCCAGCAATCAGATAAATTTGATTGCTTATCATGAATCAACGATAAAGGTAAGAAAAAAAAATAAGTTCTGACTGATCAGAATTCAGTCAATTGGTTATATAACCAATTCTGATCCTGATTCTGATTCTGATTTCATGATGATTGTTTTTTTTTCAATGATTACGATAATATCTCAAGTTAATATGCTTTTAACCTCAAACAAAAAAAAAGGTAATAATATTTATCTTCTTCTTTTATCTTCTTACAGATTTTATCATCTTCATCTTGAGTGTTCATGGTGGAAAACTCTGAGGGATCGTCTCCTCCTCATGAAGATCCAGAATCGGATAAGACAATGAACAAAAATCTCATCGAGATTCAGTGAAGGATGAAATTGATTTGATTGGGAAAAAGGATAAGAAACTTTTCCAAGGAAACTGGATCAATATCAACTTAATATAATCCTCGATTCTGATGATCAAGTGATGATGATGAAAATGATGAACATCATCATCAGGAAGTGGAAATGAAACCTTTTTTGTTTTCTCTCAGAATTGAATGATAACTTTGTATATTAGATGTTAGAGACAAATGGAATGAAAAATTGTGATAAAATCATTGATTCCAATATCATGATGGGTGAAAGTCTTCATCTTCATTTCCAATATCATCTTTAATCATATTAGTTAGCATCATTTTCATCAACCTTTGCTCACCCTACCACACCCAAAGTCTCCCTCTTAGTGTAGATGACAAATAAGCTGAACCATTTTTGATTGACAGGTTTATTGTCCCGTGTCAAACAGTTTGGACACAAAATTTTCCGCATCACTTTGCTTACTCATCTTCATTATCATCCTCATCCCTTTGAACATCCTGTTCATCATCCGCATCCTTTTTTCATCTCAAATCCGAAAGGCTTAATCTCAATCCCTGACAAAGCAGAAAAAAAATCAAATTTTGTTTTTTTCTTTTACACCAACAAATTAAATCTCAATCTTAATCCATCATCACAATTTAATCTCCCATCTATAAGATAATCAAAAAGATAGAGAGAGAGAGAGAGAGAAAATGATAATCATTATAATGAATTGATAAAGATGAAACTGGTTAACTAATTAACTTTGATTCTGATCACTAATCACGAAGTTAATTAACACACCGTTTAATAAGAGACTAAGGAAAAAAACTATTAGATTAAATTACTTTGGGAAGATAAGCTAATCATCATCATTATATCATCTTCATTAATAATACATAAGATAATTATGATTAGTAACTTTGTATCAATCGATTGTAATATTAAATCATCATCATCATCATCTTCATCTTCATCATCATCAGCAATGAATCCAGCCCATAGACAACAATTAACCGCAACAATTTGGTTAATACCAACAATTTACTATATCCTCCTAATCAATTACCTGATACCAATAAGTTTATCCCAACAATTAATTGGAACCAAATTAACTAATTACAAGAAAATTTCACCAGGTAAGAAACTTTTACCTTTATTATAAACTTTACTTTCTCTCTCTTTCCTTGATTGAAATTTATCATTTTCAAGCAATTAAATACAAATCATCACAACGAAAACATTGACCATTCACAATTAAATGATAGATTGTTGATTGTTACAGTTAATTGTCAAGTACAATTGACTTTTTACCTGCGAAAATGAAAAATAAAAGTTAAACCCAAAAGCACCTCTCAGGTAAAGTGATGATGATGAAAACCTAACCCTTGAAAACAGAGAAAAGGTTAACTCAAGAGAAAGAGAAAAAAAAACTTCTTTTTTTTCGAATATAAACTTTTTCTTCCTCATCATCATCCGTCATCTTCATCTTCCTTCATTGCCTCCCGATCTCAACAAGTTAACAATATAACAGCAACAATAACAAAGGTAGAAAATGAAGAAGAAGAAGAAAAAAGAAAAAGTTTTCTCCTTGGATAGAAGAGAAAATAATTTTCTTTTCTTCCATAGGAAAGAAAAACTTTTTTTACCTGAGAAATTATGAGAAAATTTGAATCAACCCAATTTCCCTCCTTCTTTATACAGGTAGACCCAAAGGTTCACAGGTATTTATATAAGTAGAAAGAGTCTTTTGATTTATATTGATCGTTACAAAACATGTTACCTTTACCTTGGCGCTTTATCATCACCATAAACATCATCATCTCTTTTTTTTTCATCCTCATCACTTTATTTTGAGGTGAGTCCCTTTGATCATATACAAGCTTTTGACCCACAAGTTATACACACCTTTATCATCATTATCTTCATCATCAAATGATGATCATTTTTCAGCAAAATGTTTACACCAAAAGTGACCAAATAGTTACCAATGAAAAAGGTATTTTTTTTAAAGGATCGTTGACTTTTCAATATTACCTTGATGGCGATCATCAATACATCGTTGAGGTTAAAGATGAGGATGCTAATCAATTGGCTCTTTCAAAATGTAATCATTTGTGTATTAACTAATATAAATTGTCAACATTGTTTCGTCCATTGGTGAACTTTGATTTTCCGTTGCAGTTCGAGTTCGATTTGCGTTCTTAAATTAAGGTTCTGAGACTTGGGAGCGAAAAGGATCTTGCATTATCGTTCGAGGAATAGTTCAAAAAGTTTCTGTTGTCGGTCGTTGAAAATTGACATGTTTCGATGGATATATTTTCGCTGGTCACTTGAATGAAAATCCCCGACAAACGCGCTTGATAACATCTCTGTTACAGTTTTCCATGAAATTTTGAAGTAAGTCTTTGACCAAAGAAACAGTTTCAACGGAGCAGAAACAGACGGAAGATTTTATGACCGTGGTCTTGACCCCTTTTACGACTTTACAACTTAGAACACTTTGCAAGCGACGAGAAACAGTTTACATTTTAGGTGAAACAGTTTGATTAACAAACATTGAATTCGTGGTTTCTCAATTATAATTAAAAATCACCATGAATTGATTGATTATTGACTTTGCTACTCTATCAGCTTTTTTTTAAAATTTCAATATTCAGCTCTCGGTTTTTATTGATATATCTAAAGCCCCAGTTTCGTTTATCGTTTAAGTTTATTAATCACTAGAATGATGATCAAAAATTAATTTTTGCATCTGATTTGTAGTAATTGATAACTTTTTTGTATAATTTTTACTCAACTGTTTCACCTAAAATGCAAACTGTTTCTCGTCGCTTGCAAAGTGTTCCCTCTAAGTTGTAAAGGTCAGGACCTTTGAGTTGGAAGACAAGAGTCATAAAATCTTCCCCACCCCCGTTTCTTGCTCGTTGGAAACTGTTTCTTTTGGTTCAGTCCTGTTTCACCAATCCTTTAGCAGCTTAGTGAGAAAAGTAAACAATAAGCTCAACATGTTTTTGGTCTTAAAGTTAATTATCATATTCTGGTACTTTACGAAAATTCTTGCTAATTTTTCATAGAAAATCAATTCATTGAATTTAATCTTGCACATATTTAATCAACATGAATTTTCATATAAAAAGAATCGGAGAATCTACTGATTGTCCATTTATGTTCTTTCTTTTTCTGTGGTTATTTGAATATGGAATTGGTCAAGAACAAGAGAGGAAACTTCAACCTTATTTATCAAAATTTTGTTTATAATTTGAGAAATGAAAGTGTAGATAAAAAATATTGGAGATGTTCCGATTCCAAGTGTAGTGTTACATTGATCACAGAAAACGATCGGTTATTGAAACATCCATCAGCTCATCAACATATTCATCATTTCGACAAAATCGAATTTTTAAAATCAAAAAATCTAATGATTGATTCGATTGTTAATGTTCCAACCAGTAAAGTGAGAGAAATTTTTAATTCGGTGAGTTAATTGTAGTCTCTCTCTCTCTCTCTCTCTCTCTCTCTCTCTCTCTCTCTCTCTCTCTCTCTCTCTCTCTCTCTCTCTCTCATGTCTCATCTCTTACCTCATCTTTCTCATCTCTCTCTCTCATGTCTCATCTCTTACCTCACCTCTCTCATCTCTCTCATCTCTTACCTCATCTCTCTCATCTCTTATGGTTATTATTATTATTATTATAATTATTATAATTATTATAATTATTATTATTATTATTATTATGAGAGGAAGAGCTTTCTTTGATTTCAAATGGACAATCAACTAATTCAGTTCCACTTTTCAAGAGTTTGAAAACTAGTTTATCAAAGAAAAAAAAATATCCTGAGGATAAGGGACAGTTAACCAAATAATTATTCCTCAAGATTATCAATTAACTAAATATAATGAAAATTTCTTCTAAGCTCATCTAATCCAACAAATGGAATATTAGTTTTGGAACAATTCAATTTCTATACTTATTATGTCGTCAAAGAGTTTATGTAGATGGGACATTCGAAGTTGCTCCTCGATTTTGTCAATTGTTCACCTTTATATTTAGTTAATGAGGAAATGTTTTGTGCAATTTATTCATTGCTCCCTGATAAGAAATTGATAACATACAGAAAATTAATAATAGAAATTAAATCAATTGCTAATCAAAATGGTTTGAACTTCAATCCCCAGCATTTACACTGTGATTTTGAATTAGCTATCATACAAAGTATGAAGATTGAATTTCCTAATATCTCAATTCATGGTTGTTACTTTCATTATGCTCAATGTTTAATGAGAAAAATTCAAAATTTAGGAATGAAAAGTTTATATGAAAATAATCAACAATACAAACAGGTAATTAAAAGGTGTGTAGCTTTACCTTTAATGAGCTTAGATGATATTGATTCTGCTTGGTTTTTAATTAATGAATGTAATCAATTAAATGATGACAAATTGAATAAGTTTCTGTATTATGTTCAATCTAATTGGTTGGATGATGACGCTACTTTCCCGAGAGCGATTTGGAATCACCACGAAAATTATGGTACCAGGACAACAAATCATCTCGAGGGTTTTCATAATAAATTGAATAGACACTTTGATAATCATTCGCCTAACCTATTCAAACTGATTGAAACATTACAAAGCTTAGAAATGGAATCAAAAATTGATCTATCTCATGTGATGAACGGTAAAAATGTCCATTATAAAAATAAGAAATATGAACGAATTAATGAAAATTATAAGTTTTATACTGTAAGTTATCAAAATGATGCGATTGATTTACTTGATTATCTTGATTTATCAACTAATTTGATGTGATTTTAAATAAACTAAAACAATTGTCTTCTTCGGAGATTTAGCCCATCTCTTTATGCTAATGAGCTTGTTTACTTTTCTCACTAAGCTGCTAAAGGATTGGTGAAACAGGAATATACCGTTTCTTTTTGGTCGGAAAGACTGTAAAATGTTATTTGACCTTAAATTGATCTTCTGACTCGTTATTCAGCCGATAATCTCAGTGACCTTTACTTTTCGATATGAAAATTGAGTGTATTTCAAACTTATTATTATTATAAAGCTCAGAGTAAAATTTTCCAGCACCAGGTCGATGCTGATGAGCCCGTTTGATTTGCTGCAATTAAATCAATGGTATTTTTATTTATTATTTTTGTAAATTGTTTACTCACAGTAATTGATTAGTAAATCATACAAAACGGTGTCGTTAATGCCAAAGGTAAACAATCAACAGCAATACAATAACAATTAAAGACAACAATTGATAATCTTTATGTTAACATTTTTCACTTTACCTTGTAAACAATTAAAATTGTTTACAATTTACAACAGGTAAAAATGCAAAGGGTCAGTTTAATGTCCAAGCTTTAATTTTAATCTGTAAGCGGAACCAGAAAAACACCTTGACCTTGTTATCAATGGTATCATTAGACTGGACATGAATGTGTGTCCACTTGGTAAACAAACTGACCAAAGGTAAAACTATCCATTTGATAAACAAACACCTTTCCAAAGAAAAGGTCACTTTTTTGATCTTGTGGTCAGTTTACCGAATTGAAAGTAAACAAATTGCAGCTTGACCAGTGGAAATTGAATCGATGACCATTTTCCCATAAAAAAAGCAAGTAAAAGTTGGCGAGCAATTGAATTTAATTTGGAATTAACAACAATTAAGATAAACAATGAAAGTGTTTCTGTTTTTCTTGATTACCAACAAATTTGCAATTAACCATCACAATTAAAATTGTTAAAATAATTAAAAATCCAAAGCAAACTAATTGGAAACAATTTAATTGTAGCCCAAACAATTTCAGATACAAAGTAATCAAAATTAATTGAGTTTACCAGTTATTTTCAATTTAATTGTCTTCCCCATTGAATTAACCAACAATCAACGATCAACACAATTAAATACAACCAAAGTGTCTGTAGTTAATGGTGTTGATTTGATTAAATTGCAACAATTAAAAACAACAAAAGTTTCAGGAAAAAAAATGATTAATCATTTTGAAACCATTTTTCTGGCAATGATACAGATGATTATCTGAAATCTTTATATTGATATCAACAATTAACTAATCACTGTAGCTAACAAAATTAGATTTAGCTGTTTTAATCATCAACAGTCAATGA